ACGTCTCGCGAGAGCGCCGTGGCTTGCCGGCGGGGGTGGGAGGGGCGGCAAGGGGCGCGCCGTCATGCCCTGGAAGGGGGGAGGAGGGGGGAGCGGCGTGACGCAGAACGTCCAGGGGGCGGGGCTGCAGAGGGTTCAGTGGTCGGGCGTGGCGCTCGAGCGCCCCCTGGCGGGGAGGCGCCGCAGCGCCCCGCCCCGCCCCGGGAGACTGGGAACGATCTGTCAGACTCGGTGCACCCTTGTTCAACCCGCGGCACCCCTCCTAGACTCGGGGCACCCCGTTAGACTCAAGACACCCCGTTGGCCGGATGCATTCCTGTTAGACTTCAGACAGCCCTGTTAGACTCTCGGCACCCCTACTAGACTCAATGCACTCCTCCTAAACTCGATTCACCCCTGTTAGACTCGATGCGCCCCTGTTACATTCACTCGGGACACTCCTTGTTAAACTCGTGGCACCCCTGTTAGACTCGAGACACCCCATTAGACTGGATGCATCCCTGTTAGACTTGAAACACCCCTGTTAGACTCGTGGCACCCCACTAGACTCAATACACCCCTGTTAGGTTGACTCAGGACACTCCTTGTTGAACTCGCATTGCCCCTGTTAGACTCAGGACACCCCTCATTAGACCTGATACACCCTTGTTAGACACGTGGCACCCCTCCTAGACTCGAAACACCCCTGTTAGACTCAATGCATCCTTATTAGAAGCAGAACATCCCTTATTAAAATCATGGCACCCCTGTTAGACTCAGGACACCCCATTAGACTGGATGCATCCCTGTTAGACTTGAGACACCCCTGTTAGACTCAATACACCCCTGTTAGATTCACTCAGGACACTCCTTATTAAACTTGCTGCACCCCTGTTAGACTCAGGACACCCCATTAGACTTGAGACACCCCTCATTAAATTTGCAGCACCCCTGTTAGACTTGTGGCACCCCTACTAGACTTGAGGCACCCCTGTTAGATTCGATACACCCCTCTTAGACTCAGGACACCCCTTGTTAAACTTGCGACACCCTTGTTAGACTCAGGACACCTCTCGTTAGAGTCAAGACACCTTGCTAGTCTGCATGCACCCCTGTTAGACTCAAGACACTCTTTGTTAGTCTCAATTCACCCTGTTAGACTCCAGGCCCCCCTTGGACAATGCCAGCTCTGAGCTTTCACTGGCTGTTTGACTACAGAAAACTGCTAGAGCCATTCTCCTGCTGCAAAGAGCTCAGCCAGACCACAGCAGGGCAGGGTGTTTCTGACCTTTGGGATTCCCATCTGAACTCTCTGGGTTTATCCCGTGAATCGTGCGTCCTTTGGCATCTCTGGCCCAATAAGTGGTGGGTGCCAGAGAGGGCATCGACTATGGGATGGGTCACTCTAGAAATCCCTGGTTTGATGTCCTCCCAGGACAGCATCCACATCTGCCGCTGTCAGAGTAGTGGGCTGCAGGGTCTGATCCTGCACAGCACTGCTTCTGCGCTTCCCTAGCTGTGCTACTGACTCATGGCACCTCGCGGCACCCTTGAAAGGACCTCAAGGCAACCCCAGGGTGCTGCGGCACCTGGCTGAGAACCACTGCTTTTGGTGCTTTTTAAACATGTTCTTGACCATAGGGTTCACTTTATATGGCCGTTTCCCCTCCAGCGCCAAGCAGCAGATGGACAAGGCTGCGGTTGCACGGTCAGAACAGGAACTTCTTTCTCACACGTTAAACGCCTCTTTCAGTTATGTCTGTGCAGTCCTTTGCTCAGTTCCTGTTGCTGAGCGATGCTTCTTGAGCAACCGCCCTCCCGTGGTCGCTTCTCTGCTTCCCCGCGACTGCTCTAGGAAGCTCCTTTCTCCTGCTTGCAGCTGGCCGAAATCCCTCTCTGCTAGTACCCCAGCCCCTAACCCATACAGCCCAGTCTGGAGGTAACAGGTCTTAGGCCTCACCAGCTTCACTTCCCAAGGGAGATCTCTGTCCCCCTTCTGTGAGAGCTGTCTGCAAGAGGAGCTGACTTCTCAGCTCGTCCCCCGTGATGCTTAATGTCACGGTGTCTCCACGGAGGCCGCTGACGAGCCCAGAACACGTCTGCGGCTATACAAGCACCCACATCTTTCAGACCTCCTCCAGAACGGCTTATGAGGCTTTCCAAGTATTTGATAGCTGCCATTTGCTCGGTATCATGGCCGCACAGATTAACAATGAGCTGGTTATAGTCTAGAGTGAGAGGGTATTGAACAGCCATTGTTTGGGGACTTCATTCTGTCCTGGGTGACACGCAGGCCAGCAAACCGACCGTCAGCTGCAGCAATTCACTCCACCAAGTGAACAAGACAGACACATCAACTTTTCAGAGCAACGTGATGCTCAGTTCAATGCCCCTGACAGCTGCTTCTTCCAGCTGATCCATCAGCTGCTCAATACTGATACTGAACAAGGCCTTGCCGAACTCCAGTGGAAACAGGAAACCAAGCTGTGCCTGACTACCATTAGCTCAGACCCAGCTTTCTGCCGCACTGTACCGCTCTGCTATCAATAGCACTTCCTTCCGGGGGTGGGAGGTGCTGAATTTCGTTATCAGATCCCACAAGCTTCATGATGAGCTGAAACAAAGGCCCGACCGAAGTCTATGAAAGGTTCAGCCCACGATGCATTAAATCCAGGTGTATTCCCCAAGAGCTGTCTGGCAGTACAGAGGGGAATGAGGATTCAGGTCTCTGTTACATCGCTAACTCGAGACATTTACACAGAGACAGACTGCCACTGAGACTGAAAACAGCACAATGCAATTATAGGAGCCAGAGGAGTCCTCTTAGTTTGTCAGGGAAGGGACTGTTGTGCCAGAGAGCGCCGGGAAGAGTTGATGCAACATAAACCCAATGATGCTTTTATCTGCCTTCAGCAACTCAGTGGGATATTCCAGGCCTGTGGTGCCTTCCCAGGGTGCTGTATATGAGAGAGTCGAGATCTCTTCTTGGTTCCTGGTCCATCCCAGAAACCCCGGGCAGCGCCTCTTGCTTTGCAATTGCTGCCCGATAGGTAAACTTTGAAGTGAACAGCCAGAAAAAGAATCAGATGCCAGAAATTAGACCACAGGGGACGTACAGCACTGAGAGTGCTAGACACCTGCATAATGCTCTTCCCTGGCACAGCACTGCTAACACATCCACGTTGTCTCGGTAGCCTCATTAGCAACATAGGAGAAAAGAAAAGCTCCTATTAAGGTTTAAGGCCCAAAGACAGTAATTAGAACTGACCTGTATTGCACCACTCCCTCTTTTTTCAGGGACTGTTTTCATTTATATAACAGAGCTAAGCAAAAGTAATTGTTCCACCTAATCTTTAGCTTAGGATACATCTGCTTTTCCCGGACCTGAGGAAAGGTGTGTTGTGCCCGAAAACTTGTCTAATATTTCTCCCAACTGCATTGTTGGTCCAATAAAAGATTTCACTGAACAAATCTTGATTCTCATACGTTCTGTGGAGCATCAGGGCTACGACGGCACTTCAGCACTATTCCCACCAGTCTGTAGGGAAGATTTGTGTGTGAACAGCACAGGCCGCAGTGCTATTCAGCCAAGAGGAAGGGGTGCAAAGTAGGGACAGTGGAGAGCCCAGGTCTAAGTTGGTCTAGATTAGGGGTGGCCAACTTGGCGGCAGCCTGTGGGCAGAGGAAGGGGATTGTAGTGGCACTCAGAGTGGGTGCAAGGCTAATTTATGATGCACCTGCTGAAAAGGTTGGCCCTGACTGCTCGTGACTACAGGAAACAACACACAACACATGAGCAGGGGATGCTCTAATCTTCCTGGTGCTGGGTATTAGAGAGTGACATCACTCACGGAGAAGAAGCAACCAGGAAAGCGCCAAACTGGTAATGAGCAGGGGCCAGGATAACCATCACGTTCCCGGGCAATCCTTGCCTTTCTTTGGTGAATGGTGAGGACAGGACCTGGCTCACACCTTGCACTGCTGTGTGGGGAGCAAAACACCACGTACAGCAAATGACTGAGTTGTGATTCGCAGTGCGGTTGCTCCTGTTCTGGCACCAGTCTGACACACAGATTGCATTAGAGCTGATAGGAGAGTTGCTAAATTATTAAAGGCCGCAATGATGTAATGCCAGCTGGAAAGACAAGCATCCTGAGAAGCTGAAAGATGCATCTGAAATGTTCCTTGAATTGTTTTGTGCTTTGCCAGTAGCTGACATCAGTTGTACGGCCGGGTATATTGTTACACAGCGGAGACGACATAGCCGGCATCTTAAAGCACGCCCAGGACCAGGTCTGGATTTGAGGTAAAACTCCATTTACTCTGGTTTCATACACACATAACTACAAATCAGAATCGGGCCCAGGCTCCTCTACATAAAATCTTTGCCCTCGTATTCAGAAAGCTGTCAGCCCGCTTATGTCCAAGTGGAATCACAGCGATTGTTATGAACAATATGCATGACACATGATCTACAGCCTCACTTTCCTTTATCCTGCACATTGATTCTCAGTCAGGATGCCACAGCACCCTGGGGTGCCTTGAGATCCTTTCAAGGGTGCCACACGATGTCAGCACTGTTAGGTTTACCACCTTAATTCACAAGATAAACCCAGAGATTTCCAATAGAAATCCCTAGCCATGGTCTTTCTCAGGTCTTTGCAACAGAAAAACTCCTAATTTTTTTTTTTTGGTGGGCAAAAAAGGGGAGAAAACTAAGAGCTAGCATTTTCCAGGAAAAGCCTCAAATCTATCCAGGGGTGCCTTGAGTCTAAAAAGCTTGAGGACCCCTGATCTGGTACGACAAGGGTCCTACAT